CGGCGGGGCTGCCCAGGGCTTCGCCGCCTAAAACCGGGCACGGGGGGAATGAGGAACGCGGCCGAGGGCGAGGAGCCTGGCGGGGTGGCGCTGGGCCGGGCCGGGCCGGCCGGCCGGCCGACCTCGCAGGGCGGTTGTTCTGGAGAAAAGGGCCACGGAGGATGCGCTCTGCGTACTTCCCTGGGTGCAAATGCATCTGATGCAGAAATGCGTGAACGCCGCGTTAGGGCTCGCTGGCAGCGTGGAAGCCGCTTCCGTCGTGTTGAATCAGAGTTTATTTATTTCCTCACATCTCTAGGGCCGCCCATCTCGCCGTCAGGTGACTCTGGGTGGTGAACAGCAGAGCTAAAACCGATAGACGCAGACAAATATCGCCATTGTTGTTATTAAAAGCTTAAAATTATACAAGGCACCAAACTGAAATATGCATGTATGCATGTATGTATTGGGCGAAGAGCAGATGTTCATTACACTGGAGCCACCTCAATATTTCGCCACTCCCCTGGGGTCCCCAGGCCCGATGACACAACCAGGTCACGAGGGAATGATGTCCGTAATCTCCTGCAATAGTCAGTGTCCATGTGAGCTGGGGATGATGGGTGTGGCTGCCAGAGTCATCGAGATTGAGAAGGGCTGTGATAGGGTTTGGGGGCATGGCACATCAGCGTGTTACAAGAGCAAAAGGAATCAAGATCGCTTCACTGCCACAAGGTGCCAGGGTGAAAAGGGGCATCAGAAAAGCAACGTTAGAGGGATTTTCTCAGCTTCTCCCAAATTTCTTTTTCTGTGCCAGCCTGAAAGGTTCAGCACCCCTAGACTTTTGCTCCTTTGCACGCTCAAGCAACGGACGTTGGTATTTAACTTTTATCCCCAGGAGTTAATGCCCTGCTGTTCCACTTTAATTTCTAACCTGGGCTAACTCTCTGCTTTAAAAATCAAATGGCTAGAGCCCTAAAAAAGCTAGTAAGGGGACAGATTAACATGTTTTGCCTAAAAAAAATAAAAGCATCACGCTGGATTTTCCAAAATCCAACAGCGTCTGCTGTCAGCAGGCCGTTGGGACAGCTCGTGGGGAGTTGCTGCTGTTCAAGCCCGGATCGTGCCCCCCAGCAGAGAGCAGGTCCCATTTCTGGAGACCAGGCGAAGGACGGTCAGCCGTGTCCGAGTCTCGCCACGTGCCTTCGGGGGTCAAAACGGTGTCTGGGCTCAGCTTCGCTTCTTTAGTTCTTGCTCTGTTATTCCACATCTTCCTCGGCTCCCCGGCTCCCAAGACTTCAGGCAGTTCCAAACCTTCTTTAAATAATCCCGAAAAAGATGCCAAAGTGAGCAAAGTGTCGATATAGCGAATCATAGGATGCCTGACTGCTTTAAATGGGACCCAGATGCGAAAAACATGAAAAATCACAGCCTGGCTTCTCCAAAACACCGGAAAGACGAAACACAAACGTCCCAAGAATCAGACCACCCAGACCACCTCTGGTGAGGTACTTTATTCATTTGTTTGCTTATTTCTCAGATATAGATCCCCAGGAATCATAAACAGACTCTCCGTAGCTCACTAGAGCAGTGTTGTCAGAACTTAGCCACTTTAAGATG